ATAGTTTTCATTTAATCACACAGAGATATAAATATAGAAGCATAAAATGAATTTTTCAGCCACAAAATAATATTTTTTTCCTTTGCAGAAATGTGGTCAGACTAACAAGATATATAGAGTGAAATTAATCAAGCAAAAATTACCCAGTGCTCTCACATATTTTTGCAAGCTAAAAACTTTGATCTTGTAGAAAATAAGAATGAATGCAAGGGCTGGGTGTTCAATGCCCTGGGCCTCCTGTCCCAGCCCCACGCACGGGGTGCACTGAGACAGCAACTGAGACTGGGCATGGTGGCATGCACCTATATTCCCAGCACTTGGGAGGCTGTAAACAGGTGAATCACTATGAGTCCAATCTAGTAGTGAGACCCTGAACACCCTATAGACCCTTACCTAAAATACAGAAAAAGAAAAAGAAAAGAAGAATGAAATAATAGTAATGAAAGACTGTGAGAGGAGAGGTTTGGAGAGGGCTTAGAGTACAGATACCAAAACACAGTCAGATAGAAGGGATTAGATCTGATATCCTAATGCACAACCAGGTAATTATAGTCAAATATTTGAAAATAACTGTAATAAATAAAAGAATCCAAAGCTTTTATGCACATGTAAATTATTCATGTTTGCAGAGTTGGAAATGTTAATTACGTGGATTTGATCATCATCCATGATAGAAATGTATCAAAGTCTCATACTATATTTGTAAATATGCATAAATAGTATGTGTCAATTTAAAGCAAACTGAAAGGGAAAATAAAGAAAACTAAAAATGTTATAGAACAAGATTAACTATTTTATTCATTTAAGTATGGTTCCAAAACATCCAGAAAAAATCAAATCCAACTTCAAAGCATATATATTTACCATTTTAGAGCACATTCTGAAGGAATTTATTCTTTGAAGGTAATTGCAAAATGAAAATATAGAAAATAATTTGCATTTTAAGCAACCTAGTACTTGCATCATGGGATTAAGTGTAAACACATTTGGATCTGCAATCAAACAACATGTATTTTCCTTTTCGTTTCCAACCTCCACTACAAGCAGCACAGCTAGAATGGCAAACAAGACATGAGCTCATGATTCTGACAGAAGGAAGCATTCCAGGAAGGCATCTACCTCAGATTTATTTGTCACATGAAGTTCTATCTACAATAATTAAAATAACTGTCAGAGAGTTAAAATACCCTAGGAATGGAAAACTAGGATTTGGTTTGCATTTTGGGAGGGAGACAGCAGCATTTTCAAATAAAACTCTCTTCTGCTTGCAAATGAAGCAATCACTGTTGTAGGTATTATTTAGGTCTGTCTTATTAAAGTGAAGACTATGAAAGCTACCTTAAAAAATGCTCTAAGAACAGTCTTTCTCAATAATACACAGCTTATACCCCCTTTCCAATTATATTCAGGAAAACCAATTGCTATATTTTGTCTACCCTGGATATTTTCCCAAAATTCCCATGTTATTGTGATCATTGAAAATATATTTTAAATTCCCATAGTTAATCACTCTGATTAATGAAAATAATCTCAACTGCCCTAATATTATTTATACACTGGGATACATAATTTTATTTATATGTATATATGCATAAAACCAAGATGATACACAATGATTGATTATACCCATACAAAGCTTGAAAGAATATTCCCTAAATCCCATTAGAATGAAATGATTCAGATTAATAGCTTTGCTGATAATGTTATTTAATCAATAAATGGTCTTTTTCAGGGGCATTTCACTTCATTGAATGCAATTAGTAAGGCTTCTTTTCAATTAAATCTTTTATCGAGTCACACACGTAAGCCAATTTTCCTGTACAGAGAAAAAGGAAGATTATAATTGTGAGTCATGCTGTTCTGCCTGTTTCTTTTCTTAAAGCCAATGGAGAATTAGTCACCTTTCTTGGGAGAGGGAGGCTATAACAATGTCAGGAGCATGAATTACAAAGCTCAAAAGCTTAGTAACTACCTTAGGAAGCCAGGGAGATAAACTGCATTATGCACAACCTCATAATTCCTGTGTCCTTTCGTCACCCTATTCCATTTTATGCAATTAAATACTAAAGTTTAGGAATGATTTGGAAATTTCTCTAGATACATTTATTAGATTGTACTGTTTTTCCTTTCCCAATCTCATTTTTTCTCACACATAACGTAACGAACGTGACCTCAAATTGTCCATAAAGGTTTGATGTTCCTTCTACATGTTTCCAACTCGTGAAAGCAACCCAAACATCAAGGCCTGCTGCCATAACGTGGGCACGACATCAAATGAAATGTCTCTGGCCTGTGACCTAGAAAGCTGTCTCTCCTAGAAGACCCCCAGAGGAAGGGACAGCATAAAACTACCTGCGCAGGCAGTGAGACAAACGTCAACACGTCAACACCACCGCTGTACCCCCAGCACCTCTTTCATCTTTTACATAATAAGCCTTAGGCCACATTGTATAAACTCCTCCACAATACCAAAACAGGCGTAAATGACACACTAGTAAAGAAATATACTACCTAATTGTTGCTAATCCTACATCAAATAATGTAAGTGATAGGCCCTGCTTTACTTATCACTATTGTCCTATGATTTTGTTATAAAGTTTTGTTTTACCTTTTTCCCATAAAATAAAATTTTTACAAAGAATTTGTTTGCTTGTTGTGTAAAGACAGGACCATGTTCTGTAGGTCAGGCTGGCCTTGAACTCACTGTGTGTGCAGGCTGCAGTCCTCCTTGAGCTCAGTGCTCGCTCCTTCCTCGGCCTCCCACATGCTAGGATTACAGGTGTGTGCCATCACACCCGGCAAGAATTTTACGTGATTACGAAGTATTGCATTTCTTAATCACATCTTTCCAAAACCAAAGCCACTTCCATTATCTGGACTACCCATTCTGATACACTCCATTATGTCATGTGTTTCCTCATGGATATTTTAGGCCTCAGAAAATTAAAGCACAGCTGGAAGACACGTGACAAAACCACAGATCACCATTTTCTTCTGCTATGGCTTATGTCGAGATGTCCTCCCAAAGCCTCACGTGGTCATAGGTGGGGTTTTCCTGGGTGTTTTGAGGTAGAGCATATGAAGCTGGAACTGATCCAGGGTGAAGGCTAGCCCCAGTGGGACTAGGATTAAATTTGAACGCTACCCATCCTAAGTGGCCCTGGGAAGGTACAAAGGATAGAAAGAGCTGTGCTGTCCCTTTCTGCTTTCTTCCCTTCGGCCCACCATGAACTGTTCCTCCCCTGCGATTCCTGTCTGCCTCCCCACCTTGCCTTGGAACCAGCCAATTACACATGGAAACCTCTACAAATTGTGAACTAAATCAACTTTATACCCTTAAATTTTGTGTGTCAGTTTTGTCTTAGCACTGATAGAAACATAACCAAGACAGCTTCCCAGACCCATTAGCTCCAAATGTGGTTCTATGTATTTAAAACAATTAATTCAGACTGGGAGTGGCGGCATGTGCCTGTAATCCCAGCTCTTTGGGACACTGTAAGCAGCGGATAATTACAAGTCAGACCTAGTAGTAAGACCCTGAACACCCTGTAGACCCTTCCCTAAAATCCAAAAAAAAAAAAAAAAAAAAGAAACTAATTAATTCATATCATTTAGGAACTTGGTTGACAAATATTCTTTCCTCTTTCATATCCTTCACTTGTCATATATGCAAAAGACACTTAGAGAAACAATTATTTGATATTAACTTGGTAAAACTTTACAACATTATTACTTCTAAAGACTTTTGAAAATCTTTTGGTTATTAAGTTGCTTTCAAGTAATGTAAAGTTACTAATTTTTTGTCTTTAAATAATTCCTTACACACATACGAAAATAGCAGCCAGTTATTCTGCTTGGCATGTAGGTCTCCCTTTGTATGCCACTATCTTCCCAAGTCCTCTGCTTTATTCCCTACCTCTTTACTCAGTAAATTTTGCTCAAAGATCATCTCTCTCCAGAAAATTTACTGAATCGAAAATGGCCCTCTCCTGATGTGTTTTTCACATGTATTAAGCTCCTCAGCCATTTCACACTGCTTTGTGCTATTTTTGCATCACTCTTATCTAAGCGCCGTTTCCTTAAGTAACGCAAGTATTTCAAGGCAATCTTGCCATAGGTCTTTGACAAATCACCAGCAATTAGCAGTTTGAGCACAGTGCAGTTGTAATAATGTGCTAAGTTTTAAGCATGTGAAGTTTTCTATAGCTTTCAGCTTAGTGCAAGTCTACCCCGTGAAAGCCTACCTCTTGGTAGCCTTTAAGTATAAAAAAGATGGAGAGGGGTTTTTTTTAATTTCCATGAGCATATAGTTCATATAATTTTAATCATGTATCCCTTCAACTTTTTAAAACTTTTTCACAGACTTGCTAAGTTTAGATTAAAAATAAAGTCCATATGCTCACATACATGTCATATACACGTATCATGTACATACACATACACTTCTAACGATTATTTGCAAAGAAGAAAAGACCTTCCACAGCTTTAGGTTTCCCAGTGGCCCTCCTTGAAATATAGTTTCTACTTGAAAAGTAGTCTTCAAACATGAAGTAGGTACAAGTGGCAGCAAAGAAAAAGGACAGCTTCAGAGGATAGTACGATAAGGCTTTTCGGTGAATCAAATTTTCCGCAGAGCATCAAGAACTTCTGAGAATAAAAAGACTAGCGTTTGCTAAGGGGCTGCAGGGGGACCCACTTGAGGAAGGCCCTGGATTTGCGACGTTTCAGCCTCAGTCATTAACGTCTTGTGCTGAGAGGTCTTTTGTATAACACGTAAAAGGAAGAAGAAGCGAGGGAGACTTGGCGCTCCTGGGCAGGTCGGGGTTCCGCTGCCCCGGGCCTGCGGGTCGGGCCAGCGGGGGGCGCTCCCCGCTCCACCTCCAGTCGCCGTTCCTCTCGCGTTGCCCCGCTCCTCTCCCCATCCCGACCTGGCTCATGGCTTCCTGTGACGACCTGAGACCCTCCGCTGCCACCTCCGCAACCGCAAGCGGCCGGCTCACCTGAGACCCCAGCCTCCCACGTCAGCTCAGCCAGCTGGTTCCTCGGCCTCCCCTTGGTCTCCTTGGTGACCGCGTCACTTCGGTACCCATAGCAACGGGGAGGCGCGGTGGGTCCTGACGCTGTTCTCCAGCAGAGGGAGCCTGTTAGCTCCCCAAATGTGAAACAAAGGGTTGGGTAGCGGGAGGCAAAAAATGGGGGCGCGGGGGCAGAGAGCGACTAAGCGGACCGCGGCAGGGTGGGAAAGGCGCAGTAAAAGGCTCAAGTCAACAACTTCTGACATTGCCAGCCCTACGGATAACCCACTACTATTATGGACTACTGGACTATATTGGAATATTTTGCTGAATTCACTCACCTACAGTATTTAAATGACAATGGAATACCCATCTCTGACAAAACTAAACAAAAAAAGGGATACAAATGAACGACCATTTTGTATCTGTATATTCAAAATAGGATAGATATACAGCTACTTTCTCTTAATTCAGTGAATAAAAAGATGTGTACTAATAGTATTTGTGGACAGGCTATCATGTCAGCGTCTTGTACTATGAATAGCTACTAAGAAGACAACAATATGCAATGTATTAATTATGGAAACTGTCCTAATAATCGGTTTTGAAACTCTCATTGCTATTTGTTTCTCAATAAAATTATATTTTTTTAAAAAGGGTCAAGGAAATTCAATAGGTCCCTTTGGAGGTCTTAGAGATGCAGGATGGAACACTTGCCTACCATATATGGGAGGCACTAGACAAAAAGCTTTCGTGTAATATTTGACTAACCCTCATAACCCAATTCATACTTTAGCAAATTAAGGCACTAAAACTCTGACTCAGTATCACCTGATACTAAAGGACAGACCCAAGCATTTAGCCTCAGAGCTCCCACGTATATTTTGCACTTTCCTGATGATCAAATGCTGTAATACACAACTTTAGGATAAGAAGTCAAGCCTCTTGACAAACTTAGAACTCTTCTTTATACCAAAAATATGGCCCATGGGTCTATATGAGTATAATATGGTGTGTGTGTGTGTGTGTGTGTGTGTGTGTGTGTGTGTGTGCAGCAGAAAGGAGATACACACAATCGACCCATAATTCTCAAATTCATTTTGTTGTTGCCCTGTACAAAGAAGCCTCTGTGCTGACCTTTTTTATTTTGGGCTTCATAAATATATTGCTGTTTTTCACTTTGTGTCTTTATATGCTGAAGGTAAGATATGTAGTTGTTCCTTCAATGAGTCACTCTGTGGTTTACTGGATTGTACACATCTCAGTACTAAACTAATTACTTTTGTAATTGCATATAGGTGATATACAGACCGCGGTAGCACCGCTTTGTTTGTTAATGGCCTGCCAATATTTTCTCTTGCCAGATTTAGTTTTATGTAATTGGAAAATCTCATGATGGCTAAGAGAAGACAATGAGCCTTTGGGGCATGAGTCTGCAATTTGGAGTTAGGCCAACCAGAACTGGCATCCTGGTCCTACCACACTCACCTTCTGTGTGACCTGAACCAATTAGAAAGGCCGGTGGAATTGGTGTAAGAGGCAATAACACATTCAGTGTGCGCAGCACAATGTGAAATAGTAAGTGACACACAATGCACAATGTGTTAAGTATGTAGCTCTGAGTCAGGCCTGAGCCAAGTGCTTGATAGAGCACAAATACTGATGGCAAGAGTGTGGCTAGAATAGGTACTGTCATCGCACTACTGGGCAACTTCACCCATCTTTCTTCTAATACCATGCATGTTTGTTACGGTTTGTGTATGGTTGTTCCCCCAAAGCCTCATGCAGTTTTACGGTGGCTTCTGGAGTTTGTGATTATTGTGGTGTGGATGCTGCGCCTGCCCTGGGGCAGGTAATTTGCATTTCAATGTAAGGAGGAAAGAGAAGCTAGCTGCTTGAGCTGCTGCCACTCCTCCTTTGCGCTCTTCTCTTTGCTGCCACCATGAAAGGCTGCTTTCTGCTTTGTGCCGCTCTGCCTTGGAGCTAGCTGAATATGGACAGAAACCCCCAGTAACTGTGAGCTAAACAAACCTTTCCTTCCTTCAATTTGGGTGTTGGGTATTTGTCCCAGCAATGAGAGAAGAGTAACTAAGACCATGTTTCAAGAAGATGTCTAATGTTATAGTAGTTTAGTGTAGTTATTATGACTAGACAGAGTATTATAGGTAGACCTCTAAGTTAGAAATTAACAGTCACAGAGGGATTGAGCTCTCAAAAGGTCAGCACAAAAAATAAAGATACCAGAATTACAATAATAAAATAAAAATGTTACCAGAATAATAACTAGTAGAAAATCTGAAGAGAACCAGGCCTCTCAGTGGAAAGCAAAAGCAAGGCCTATATGGTCCCCTGGAGATACGCGACACCTGGAGTTTATACTGTAATTAGCACCAGCTAGTCCAGCGGGCCTCAGATAGGCACCACACACATACATGGTGGCCAGGACATCTAGACTCATACTCCCATACTCTCCCAAGAATTTTTCTATCTTTCCAACTATCTTAGATTTGTGACTGGTTCCTCTATTAGATCAATTTCCTATCTCCCTATTCTCCTTTATCCAATTTCTCTATAGCCCTACTGGGTCAATATTAGTTAAACTATTACACATGTAGATCCTACAGGCTGATCATAGTTTGACCCACTTGGTACTCACACTGTGATTTCGTTGTATAAATTACCCCTGATAAAAGGCCTTTGGTGGCAACCCATTTGAGACACCTCCTGTAAATCCAGAAGTTATTCCTTTACCTATTTCCTATAAAACTTTCCTAAATTCATTCATTTGTTCCTATCTTCACTGAAGACCACAAGCTCAGCACATCTGACAGTTAACAGGCAGCCAGTTATATTTTTCCTATATTAAGAGAACCCTTGGGGTGCTAGGGAGATAGCTCAGCTGTCTAAGCACCTGCCTGCCAAGCACAAGGACCAAGGTTTGATCTCAGTACTGCATGCCATGCCAGCCTTGCACAGTACCAGCCACCAAAACTGGGCATGGGGCACACATGTGTGATTCCAGTGCTGGGGAAACTGAGACAGGAGGATCACTACATGTCTGAGCTGCATAAGGAGACCCTATACAAGAGAGAGAGAGAGAGAGAGAGAGAGAGAGAGAGAGAGAGAGAGAGAGAGAGAGAGAGAGACAGAGACACAGAGACAGAGACACAGAGACAGAGAGAGACAGAGAGAGACAGAGAGAGACAGAGAGAGAGCCTAAGGATAGGGTCAAATAAAACAAAATAGGCTGCCTAGGTTAAGAGCTAATTCAAGTAGCTAATCCAAGTTTAGAGATCTAAAAGAAAACACAAGAACGAAATATAAAAAGTTAGGACAGACATAGAGAAATTAGGATCCTTCCAACGAGGGAGGCAATTTCTCCCTATCTCCTGAGCAAACTTAGAAAAAGTTGGAAACACAAAGTAACCAATTTGCTTTGGACCAGCTAGATAACTAATTTGTTTTAAACTCTACACCCACATAACCAGCTCTTTAAGACCCCTGTGCTCTCTCTCTCTCTCTCTCTCTCTCTCTCTCTCTATATATATATATATATATATATATATATATATATATATGGCAGAAAAAGAAAGCTGGGTGGAATTCTGTCTTCTCTTGGTGAATATCCACTGAAAGCTTTATATCTTACTATTATTTCTAATAAACACTCTTCTAAATTCCTCGTTTTGTTTATGATTTGATTCTTCAAATTAATGAGGCAAAGAACTTTGGTTTACACAAAATTAATTGTTTCAACATTACTAGTTGTAGTAGGTAGATAGCTTGTGGTCCAATTCCTACACCCATCTGTATTCAACTAGCATGGTGCTGGGTGTGGAAGACCCACCTGAGGATTGTTGCCAGCAGCGTAAGTGCAGAACAAGAGAAGGTGTCAGTCAGAATGACGTTAGGGATGCTGTTTGGAGACACTATTGAAGCTGTTGGAAGCTGCTAGTCCTCTTGGGCTGTTGTGCTGGAGGACCTTGCTTTCCTGACGAACTTGGCTGTTCTTGTTGGAGGAGGAGTTTGGGACCTCATTGTCAATGAAAATGGCTGTGCTTCATTTTGTGGGAACTCTGCTCCTCCTCTTGAGCATCACTTCCTGTCTCCAGGTCCTATCCCTCAGCCTGCTGGCACAGATTCTTCATCCCACTGGCATAGGCTTCCAAGCTTCCACCCCTGAACTTTTGGGCCTTTCCAACACAGATCCATGAAGCAGCCTGGCATGAGACTTCATCATGGGCTCTAGGCCTCCAGTTGGACTTGTGGAAGGCACTGTTATAAGCTCTAGGTTTTAAACTGAACTCCTGCAGGATATTAGGATCCAGCCCTCAGATGGATTCTTTGGTCTTTAATGTGTAGACAGATATCCTGCACTTCTTGTATATGATTCTTTAGGTGATTCCTTATATACTAATATTATAAAATGCATCCTGTATTATACTGTTCCCCTTGCAAAAACTCCAGACCATGACACTAGTTTTCTTGTATAGACTGTTTCTCAAAGCATGCACTACAAATTGCAGCAGTATTTTCATTGTTTATACGTCAATTCATCATCCATTCACTCATTCATGCATTTGCTCATTCATCCACTCAACAAACACATGAGAAGTCTATTGTTCTAGCTCTCAAAATGATTACTGTAAAGAAACTCAAGCTCCTCTTGTTGTCAAGCATATGTTAATGAGGTCCAAAAGGCAATAATCAAATGTAAATATACAATAGGAATTAGGCAGAAAATAAAGCAGAATAAAGAAATAGAAAATAAGTCATTCCTATTTTTAAATTCAAAGATAGATGCATCTCTCAATATAGGGGAGAGGGAAGACCTACAGCAAAATGGTAGAGAGCAATCTTGAGAAAGGGAATTGAACTTTGAATCTATCCCATAAAGGTCAATATTTTGCATAAGTCATCTCATATCAATAATGACTTTTATTACTTTTTAAAAAAAGATCCTTCAATGCATTTACTGACACAGTAGTAAAATTAACCTCATAAATATAATATTCTGGCATTTTCTA